ATATATATATATTGATTGAGTAGTTTATGTGTAAATAAGAAAATAGTTAATTTCGTGATACAAGACAGGATTTAATTTCCTCAATTTTTGGACAAATTAGAATAGAAGATATATTACATTAAATGAATTATCGCCAATATATTCGTTTGAGCTTAAAAACTAAAGAAATTTTACTTCATTGACGGACTCAATGATGAGTACAATCTTTCAGTATAAATCAGCTGACTGCGAATTTGGGAATTGTTTTTTTTAGAATATAAGTGTCACTCATCCCCATCAAATATTTTTTTCATTATCTTAATCAATTATTCTCCCATTTTTACTGGCATAATTTCGCGTTTTTTATTTCTAGTTTCAATTTTCATTACTAATAATATTTGTTTGGTATGAGGGAAATAATGGAAGGAAAGGGAGGGGTGAGAAAATTTTAATGAGCTTGATTTAAAAAATTAGAGAAGTGGAGTTAAAAATTTCAAATTAATTTTGCTTACCCTTTTATTTTACATATTCTTTTTATCAAGATTTTATAATCCCACTTTTTCAATTTTTTTAAATGAAACTCATTAAAAAATTTTCATCCTTTCCCCTCCAATTTCCTCATATTTAGTTCAATCTACAGAATTTGATTTGCTTGGCTATTGATTATGCTATCGCGTGCATCATTTGAGATTTTGATATTTAATGTTTAAATAAATCACACGAGGGGCAATGATAATATGCTGGCCTTATCGCCATGCTAGTTTAACCATTATTTTTTTGGCCAAATGGTTTAATAAGCATTATTTAGTATGTCTTGCTTCCTTCCTTATGTATTTGTTAGAATAATTTAGTAAATGTCTGTTTGGTTTTTGTTTTTGCTTGACCTAACCAAGCTTAATTTGATCAACCCGGGGTAAGGCTGTCCTGGTCACCGGTTTAATTGCTTTACTCTAGTTGAAAGGTACTGAGTACCCACTTGTGATATTAGAAAAAACGAGAATAAAATATCCTGAAAATTGCTATATAATAAATCAGTGAGGATGAATTTCAACATCCCAAATTAGACCTTTTATATTATTTTGGGATTTTTAAATTTTTGCAAAATGACGCAAATACTCTTCGCCATTTTTTTCTTTTTACTTAAGATTGCAACATCAACACCTCCAATTAGTTTTCAGCTCCTAGATCTCCAACAGCATGTCATTAGAGCTTCGGTGACAAGTTATTGAATTTTTAATAATTACTTTTATTTAGCTATTGCCTATATTTATTTCTAGAACTTTGATGACTACTCTTATTTAGCTATTGACTACTCTAGTATTGTGATTGACTATTTTTGTTTTTAAAAATTTGGTGACTATTCTTGTGTAGTTATTGACTATTTTAGTTTTGTTATGGACTACTTTATTTCAAAAATTCAAAAAACATACTAAATGTTGTTGAAGATCTAATGACTACTTTTGTTTAGTTATTGATTACTATTGTATAATTAATATCTATACAAAAGTAGTTATTGAAACTCTTAAAATAAAAATAATAAATAATAAAATTAGAGTAGTCAATAGCTAAATAAAAATAGTCATTAGGAATGCAAACAAAATATTATTATTTTACAATATTTTAAAATTTCAAAATAGCATGAGAGGTCTGATTTGATATTTTGAAATTTATTCACCCTATTATGTCATTTAGCATTTTTGAGAATATTTTTGTATCTTTAAGTATTTTTTCATGTGCTCTATTACTATGAAGTGCATATATAAATAATTATTTTACTAAACAAATATATCTTTACATGTAATATATATATATATATATATGTGCAAAAATATGTAATACATATGCATTTAAACATATATTTATGTGCTCATGTGTATATAACCAAAAAAAATTAAGAAAAAAGATTAAGATACAATTAGAAAAAAGTTGCAAAAGTCTTAGTTCTATTTTCTGTTAGAAACATTAAGGATATTCTCTTAGAAAGTCTAAAATATTTAATTTTATTAACTAAAATTTTGTTGAAAATTTTAGAATTATTGATTTTCCTTCCCACTGTATTTTTCTTGTACTCTATCTCTCTCAGCAATTTATAAACTTTTGAATGTTGAACTATGATAATATTTAAATATGTTTTACAAAAAATTGGAATTAACAAACATATATTATATTACATCAACAACAAGCCTTATCCCACTAGGTGGGGTTGGCTACATGAATCATATGACGCCATCGTGCTTTGTCAATAACCCAATCCTTAGATATGTTGTTGACTAGGAGGTCTCGCTTAATGACTTCATTGAGCATTCTTCTCAGTCTTCCTCTGTCTCTTTTTATGGAACTCCATATTGTCTAATCTACCCTCCTTACCGGGGCCTCCAATGACCTTCTCTACACATGTTCAAACCATCTTAAGCGATTTTCAACCATTTTCTCTTGGATAGGCGGCACACCAACTCTTGCTCTGATATTTTCATTTTGAATATTATCTTTTCTTGTATGACCACATATCTATCTCAACATCCTCATTTCTGCTACCCTAACTGTATGCTCTTGTTTTCCCTTGATCACCCAACATTCACTACCGTACAACATAGCTAGTCATATAGCAGTCTGATAAAATTTTCCCTTAAGATTCTCAGGTACCTTCTTATTGCCAGTAACTCTGGTAGCCTTCTTCTACTTTAACCAGTTAGCTTGTATTTTATGATAAACGTCTCCATCAATTTTACAATCCTCATGTATAATAGATCCAAGGTATTTAAACTTTGATTGAGGAATGATTTGATCCCACATCTTCAACTCCAAATCACCATTGCTTTACTTCCTCCCCAAATTGCGATGCATATATTCTGTTTTGTTGCTACTCAAGCGAAAATCTTTCAACTCCAAAGTCCTTCTCTATAACTCCAATATAGAGTTAATCTCTTCTTTTGACTCTACTATGAGGACTATGTCATCCGCAAAGACCATGAACTTGAGGATTCTTTCTTGGATAAGCTCAGTTAGAACATCTAGAACAACATTAAACAAATAAGGTCTTAAAGAAGATCCCTGATGTAGGCCAATCTTAATGGGGAAGTCCTTTGTCTCACCTCCATGCATTCTTACACTAGTAGTTACCCCCTCATACATATCTTATATGGTTTTGATATAAGCAACCCGTACACCTTTCTTTTCCAAAACCTTCCAAAGTACTTCTCTTAGCACACGATCATAAGCTTTTTCCAAGTCAATAAAAACCATAGGTAAATCCCTTCTTTTACTCCTATATCTTTTTATTAAACCCCTTAGTAAATAGATTGCTTCAGTTGTGGATCTTCCTGGCATAAATCCAAATTGGTTATCTGAAATAGAAGTCTCCAACCTCAACCTATGTTCAATCACTTTTTCCCACAACTTCATTGTATGACTCATAAGTTTTATCCCTCTGTAGCTTGCACAGTTTTGAATGTCTCCTTTATTCTTATAAATAGGAACTAAAATGCTTCTCTTCCAATCATCTGGCATATTCTTGGAATGTAAAACTTCATTAAAAAGCTTGGTTAATCACAATTCACCCTCCTTGCCCAAACATTTCCAAACTTCAATAGGAATACCATCAAGCCCAATGGCTTTACCAATGTCCATTTTCTTGAGGGCTGCCTTAACCTCTCCAATGTAAATCCTGTGGTAAAAAGCCAAATTCCGATCATCTTCGCTAATTAGCAAATCCCGTAAGTCCTGAGCCGCACATTCGCTTCCCTCATTAAACAACTTGTAAAAGTAAGTTTCCCATATGTCTTTAATATCACCATCAGTAACTAGCACTTTACCATCTTCATCATTTATACACTTCATTTGGTCCAGATCTCTCTTTTATCTCTCCCTTTGCTTCACAATCTTGTAAATATTTCTTTCCCTTGCCTTTGTTTCTAACTCCCCATAAAACCCCTCATAAGCTTTAGTACATGCTTTGTTCACTGTTCTCTTCATCTCTTTTTTAGCCAAACGATATTTTTCCCAGTTTTCTGTACTATTGTACAAATATATGGCCTTAAAACAATCTCTTTTCTGTCTGACTTTCTCTTGCACACTCTTATCCCACCACCAAGTCTCCTTATTTCTTTGACCACGACCTTTGGATTCTCCTAAATTGCTTTAGCTACCATACGAACCCTTGTAGCAATCTCTTCCCACATCATTTTCGCATCTCCTTGCAACTCCCAGATCCCTTCCTCCAAAAGGGTCTTTTTGAATAACTCCTACTTCTTACCCTTTAACTGCCACCACTTAACCCCGGGTTTTACCACTTGATGATACTTTTGTCTGAAACTCTTAAAACGTACATCAAGAATAAGTAATCTATGTTGGGCAGTCACCCCATCTCCAGGAATCACTTTACAATTAGTACACAATCTTCTGTCCGGATTCTTAACCAAAAAGAAATCAGTCTGTGGTTTTGAGGCACCACTCTTGTACGTGATTAAATGCTCCTCTCATTTCTTAAAACAAGTGTTGACAATCTTGAGATTGTATGCAAGAAAAAAGTCAAGAATAGATTGTCCTTCATTATTAAGCTCCTCAAAACCAAACCACCATGAGTCCCACCAAATTGTCTTGCTTCCTTGCCGACATATCCATTAAGATCCCCACTGATAAAACTTTTTTTCTTTAAATGGTATGCTTTGAACCAACCCCTCTATATCTTCCCAAAACTTATCTTTAAGGTGTGCCGCTATCCCAACCTAAGGTGCATAGGTACTAATGATATTGATAGTATATTTTCTAACAAATACTCTTTAAAATATTACTATGTCCTCAAACCTTTTAACCTCCACCATATTCTTTTTCCATATTCCACCAACAATGATACCAACACCATACCTTGCACTTGCCTTTCTTGTGTACCAAAGTTTATACCCTCCAAGTTCTGCTGCAACTTCTCCACTCCATTTGGTCTCTTGGAGGCACAAAATATTAATCTTTCTGTCCCTCATAACTCCTACTACCTCTATGGATTTCTCATTCAACGTCCCAATATTCTAAGTGCCAAATCTAATTTTGTTCTCATGAACTAACTTCCTTAGTCGCCTTCGTCCAAGAGAGTGCGATAGCCCTTGTTCATTTAATACTATATCCGAGCAACAATGCAGCAGCTCTAGTTCAGTTATCACTGTACTCGAGCCATACAGCGCGTCACTTCTGGGCAACGACCTAGCATGAGCATAATTACTTCGTTGATCTATGTTCATGAGATTCAACGGGTTTTTACGTTGGCTGTCAAGGGCATAACACAACCCTTCTCTTTTATCTGGGCTTGTGACCGGCTATACAATATAGGCAGAGTTAAACATATATTATATTAAAATTATTTAAATTTAGAGCAAGATAAACATAAAGGATACAACTTAAGGGAAGTTCATTAAGTCATTTATGTCCATTGTTCCAAATATATTCGGTCTTTATTTTTATTTTTTTTTACTGTTGTTAAATTATACTATTCTAGTCCTTAATTTAAGATTTATTTAACAAGTTTGATTAGATTAAAAAATCAGTTTAATTAATTAATTATAATTCATATTGGTATATTTTTCCTAAAATATCCTTATTTATAATTTTTTAAAAGTGGCATTTGAAAAAAAGGTAGAATTGATGCATGTGCAGCATCAAGTAATAGGCATTACTTAACCCAATATGTTTGGTATGAGAGAAATTGAGAGAAAGAGAAGGGAGTAAAAATGTTAATGAGCTCGATTTAAAAAATTAAAAAAGTGAAATTTTAAGATTTTAATAAAATGAAATTATAAGATAAAAGAGTAATAAAAATTAATTAAAAGTTTTTAACTCTATTTTTAAAATTTTTTAAATTTGGCTCATTAAAACTTTTCCTCCCTCGCCTTTCCCTACATTCCCCGAACCCTAAATTTTGGGTCGGCTTCTTCCTTTGGGTTATTTGGGCTTTGCTCAAATAGATCTCATGATTCTCATGTAACTGGCCGGCCTCTTTAGTAGTGTAATTTTTTTATTTGGACTTCACATAAAATTCACTTTTTATCAAAAAGAAAAAAAGAAGCAACAAGCATCACTCATTTGATAAAATACAAAAGTGTGTTATTAAATTATTATTATTATAGTTGGAGTATCAATATTGCTAATTTAAAAAATTAATAAATATGAGAAATAAGTATTAGATTAAGTCTAATTAGACTTAAGAGCGAATGAATGGTTCGGTCTTTCTTTCTATTTATATATACACTTGGGGAATATATTAATTGGCTAAAGCTCCCTTTACTACCTATTTATGACATTATTTGTGCTTTGTTACAAGTTTTGGCTCTGATTAGTGTTACAGTTTTAAATTAGTCATGATTTAGTTGTATTTTTAAATTAAATTACACTATTATTGTTGTCATGGCCGGTTCCATTTTGATTTTTTACACTATAATGTGATAACTTCCCATTAAGGGTGTTCATGGGCTGAGCTGGACAGGACATGACTCCTGTTTGATGCCTAGTCTAAAGAATAAAATGCAGCTCGATGTCCTGTCCTGCCCAATAGAAGCCCTAACAACTTTGGGTAGGATATGAGCGAGTTGGGCAGGACAGGCTTCCCTACCTAGATAATAACACCTTGCTCATTAGTATGTTAAAAAAAAATCTCTAATTATATCTTATAAATACTATTGTGAATTTTAATTGCATTTCATAATTTCATACCTTGAAATATTTCAAAAAAAGCGTACATTTTGAGTCTTAAAATTTAAAACATAATGTAAGCTAAAATTGGAACAGTGAAAATGTTTATCACCTATACATTGAGGTTATTCGTGTATTTATGATGAATTTACTTGTATTGGCCAAAGAAACTATGATATATAGATTACATTGCATGTAAAAATATATAATTAAAAATTATTAAAATTGTGGATTAAAAACTACTACTTCCCCCGATATATATTAACTTCTAAGGCTTTGACAAGAAAATAACAAAGATTCAGTTTTGATTATCCTTACCCACAGTTCGTCACTTGCTGTCGCAATGGTTTGGCCTCAAGGTTCAATCAATTTGGTTAAATTAATGAGGAAGAGTTGGATAATACACTCTCATAATTTTTTTTTTTAAAAAAAAAGCTATCAATTCACTGAAGCAATAGACAAGTCAATGAACAAAAAATTGATATTATGGGAGAGTGCAAGCAGCAAAAGGAGATAATTTTTCTGGCCAAAATTAAAAGGGATAGTGGTTGAAAAATAATATCACACTATATATTATTATAATATATATAATTATTTTTTTTTTTTCAGGCAGGGCCAAATAGATAACGCATCTTGCTCAATACCCTGGCCTGCTCGTGATAAGCTCAACCTGAAAATGTCCATTTTTGTTCGGGCCTCTTTTTATTAGGGTGGACTGGGTATTTTTTCTGCGAGTTTGGACGGGTATAACTGGCATATGTACTTTATGAACACCCCTAATTCCCATTTTTAACATATTTCAAGAATATTTTGAGCATATTGAAAGAGTTATCAATATAAGTTCCAATGATTTTTAAGAATTTATTAGAGAAATAAATTAAAAAAATTTAATATTCTTTTGCCATTTTTTTAATGTAAATATCATAATTTTTAAATGAAAATATAAATAGTTTAGCTTAAAATAAAATAATAATAATAAGCCGGATAATTGAAGTCTCTAAAATGAAAAAAGAAGTTTATGTTTTATTTCATAGGGAATTCCACGAAAAGAAGCTTGATATTACTAAATCCTAAATAAAAGATTTCTAAAAAAATGTGTTGTTATTTGAAAGTATATTATTGTCAAAACTTATTAAAATATTGTTACCAAACATAATTTCAGATTTACTAATTTCAATCTTCTTTTTGTGAAATTCTCCTTTATTTTATACAGTACTACTCTCTTTGTTTCTTATTATAAGAAACAACTAATAAAATCACATGCTTCAAAAGTTAATTAAATTTAGTTAAAAATAATAAAAACATAAGATATGTATATATTTTTTCAATTATACCCTTATTTGTCAAAAGAGTAGATGAGTAATAATGAGCAAAAATTTATTGCAGAAAGATGATGATGATGATGATGATGATGATATATTTAATAGGATAAAAGTGAAAGAAGATAAGTTTAAAATTTCAAACAAAGAGCTTTTTCTTTTTATATTTAGGGATACTACAATGCGGAGAGTATGTTTCTTATAAATACATGAGGGAGGGAGTACTTGAAAAAATCACAAAAAAAGACTTTAAAAATTAAAAAAAATTATATAGAAAGATCCGTTTATAAAAATTATTGTTATTTATTTATTAATTATTGTCAAAACTAATAGTAATATTATAATAATTCTTATTTATGATTTTTCCTACTCTCTTCCTTTTTTCTTTTTTTTTTTTCCCCTGTTGTTTTCTTTTTCCCCTTTTTTCTTCGCGTTTGAGGAGATTCTGGCATCCAAGACTTGGAATTTGAGAATAGCTAAGCGACCGTGGTTTTTGGAACGAGAACTCCAAAAACCAAAGCTACTTGTTCTGTTGTCTTCGACGGATCTGGGAAGGAGACGGAGGAGCTGCACAGGACCGAGGCGCCGACACTGGAGAGCTCTTCTTCTGCTGTAAGGTGCGCCGTCTAAGGAGGGGAATTTAATTGCTGAGAACCTTCTTCGTGGATACGCGATTGGTTTCAGGGGAGAGCTGGGAGGACGCCGTTGACTTTGGGATACAGAGGAAGCAGCTGTTGAGTTCTTCTTCTTCTTGGACTGGGAGCAGCGCGAAGAAAGGTGGTGCTGTGTAGTTCGACTGTGTTGAATGTCTTCTTCGAGTCGGGAGCCGGAATCACGAGCTGGGAGGCGGCCTCCGTTCTGCTGAGCTTCTTCGACGAGCTGAGGGATAGAAGGTCGCCACTGTTATTCATCTCTCCATGAGATTGGCGAGGACAGAGACCCATGAGCTGGAGAAGCAGATTTAGTGCCGGTGACATTTTGGTTCAATTGATGGTGAGATTTGGAGGTAGGAAATGGTACACCACAGTGTTTATTATCCCTTTTCTTCTTCTTCTTTTCCATTATGCTATTTGAGGCTGAAATTATTGTAGTTGACATGGATTTGAGATGCGTGGCTGATTTTTCCTTTCAACGAACTATGAGCTTATGAGCTTATAGGTGGAATAGACTTTGTTTTCACTGGTTAGTTATGCCTAATGTTAATTTTGTTTACTTCATCTTGTTTATAATTATCTATTTGATGACTGGCCTGCACTGAATATGAATTTGAGCATTGGAATTTTCCTCTATGAAGGTGTTTTTAATTAGACTCTGAGATTAAGTAATATGGGATTAGGGTGTGATTTAATTTGTAATTAGGCTAGACATACCTAATTATTGTCCCATGTAATTGCTGATAAGCGAGTTAGAATTGTTTTGCCTCTTGCGTAATTAGGTTACCCATAACATTATATACTTGAGAGGGATTATAACAGGCACTTTTAGCTAATTATATTCTAGATTAACAAAATTGAGCTAATTAATTAAGTGAATACAAGTTTATGAAGCTAGTAAGGGATTAGTGACTCTAGATTGTTCAATTTAATATTTGCATTCATTAAGTTATTAAATTCTTCGCTTTTATTTAGTTTTAATTTCATTTCACTCATGTTGCATTCAATTTTGTTTGCTCAACTTAAATGAAACAAGGAGATTTAATGCCTAATCACCAATTATTTTGATTCTCTGTGGGATTGATCTTGACTTACGAATTATTATTTTATAGCCCATACACTTACAGTGCCTGTCAAAATTTTGGTAGCATCAACATGTTTTCGATACATAATGTGTAACATTTTTGGAGAGCCTGTTCTGAATGCCTAGCTTGTTTTCTTTAATTGAATCTCAAGAAAATTTTATCTCTTGTTTTTGCTTAGGTTGATCACAGTTATTTCAACTCAGGATCTTCCCCAGCACGGTAATTTTGGAAAGAAATGCAGCAATTAAAGGGTACATAAGATTTATTTTTTAGTCTCATTGAAGTAAGAAGACTTTTGATCTAAAGGATTCCGCAAACTGACATTTTTCTAATTAAATTTGCTAATGAATTTTTTGGTACTTTCAGTTGCGTACAATTTATTGCTATGGAGACTTGTAATTTTTATCGCTGCTAATGTAAATTTATCCTTAGAACTTACTGGTTTATGACAGGATTTATGCTGATGGAATTACTGGTATTCTGGTGAAACTAGAAAACCAGATGCATTGATCTGAATCATCAGTTGAAATCTTCATTTTCAGTTATTTCACTAATGTCTCTCAGAAAACCTCCACTCCCCCGTCTCCTACTCAACAATGTTTCCTGCATGAGAAATGCCCAACAAATTCTTCATCACGTGAATGTATCCCTTCATGATGGCAGTGCACTTGTTTTAACTGGCGCGAATGGCTCTGGTAAGACTACTTTCCTGCGCATGTTAGCTGGATTTTCTCGTCCTTCAGCTGGTGAAATCCTTTGGGATGGCCATGACATTACACAATCTGGAATATTTCATCAGTATAAACTTCAGCTCAACTGGCTTTCCCTCAAGGATGCCATTAAAGAGAAGTTTACAGTTCTTGACAATGTTCAATGGTTTGAAGTTCTTGAAGGCAAGCAAGGTAGGTCCCTGCCTGCCCTCGAGTTGATGGGTCTGGGAAGATTGGCTAATGAGAGGCCAAGTAGACTGTCAATGGGGCAGCGGAAAAGATTGCAACTCGCCAGATTGTTGGCGATCAATCGTCCGATTTGGTTGCTTGATGAGCCTTCAGTTGCATTAGATGATGAAGGGGTGAAGTTACTTGAGTACATAATTGCAGAACACAGAAAGAATGGTGGGATTGTGATTGTGGCAACTCATTTACCAATTAAGATTGAAGATGGTATGGTCTTAAGGCTGCCCCCAAGATTTCCCAGGAGGATGACTTTAGTGGATATGCTTGATCGTGCTGATATTTAGTCCCCCCCCCCCCCCCAAAATTTTTTTTTGGTAGTGGATAAATTCATGATATGATATTTTTTGAGTCAGGATTCAATGCTGAGTTGCCTTGAAGAAACATTGTTAAGAAATGCCTTCAAATGTTGCCATAGGCCCATTCACTGAGGTTTTGGAGAAGCAGCATGTCTGTCAAGGCTCGATTTGAGCTTTAGGGCCCTTTTTAAATTTGAAAAACAAGTGATTTATGTGTAGTTCAAAGATTCTTTTTTTTTTTTTTTTTTTTCAAAAAGTATGATCTAGCATAGTTATTTTGAAATTTGAATGAACACTTTCTAGGTATTGCATGGTTGGAGTGACAAGGTCAATAAACTAGTATTTGAACCCTAGAAAAGTGACGCCCGAAATGTAACTGGCAACGTAAAACAATTTAGGCTGTGTTTGGTTTAGTGTTGGTGAAAGTGATTTTTATCATCTGACTTTTATGAGTTTAGATAAAAGTTAGTTGGTGTAACATAATTTATATTTGGATTAATTTTTATAAAAATTATTTTGATAAATTGAAATTTGTTTGAATAAGTAATGGAAATGTAAATTTAAATATGAAATGATTGAAAAGGGTTTTGGTTTTGTTTTTTTTTATTTTTTCAAACTAATCTGCTTGATTTATAAATCAATTTATAATCTAGTGATACACGTAAATATTTTAGAAAGATAATGTAACGTGATATAATTAAATAATTTTTTTACTTTTTTGAATCTCTTCAAATTAATACATTAGGTTTTATATTAAGGACCAGAAGTAATATATTATATATAATTTGATAAATTTAATGAAAACAATAAATTAAAGTAATTAACTTTTATTTTTTTCTTATAAAATTTTTTATAAACATCAAATTATTATTGAAAAAAAATCAAATTATTGGGTTAAGATAGAATTTATTTAAATATTCTTATCTGTTTTTCATCCTCATTTTCTTTCTTTCTCCACGGCAGCAACTGAAAAAGCTCAAAATTTGAGCTTTTTTTTTTTTGGTCAAACAAAATTTGAGCTTTGAGTGCATCATGCTTTTTCTCCAAAAAATGCATTGGAGAAAAAGCCAACCCAAGCAAGCATAAGTGCCGAAGCAACCCTTCATTGCACGGCTTACACTGCCCAAGGCACGTTTCCTCCTGTATACACTGAACCAAACACGCGCTTGGACACTCTTATGCCCCGTTTGGTATGATGGAATTGGGAATCATGGAAATGGAATTAAAGGTGGAATTCAAATTTTAGCCTGTTTGGTATGCTAGATTTTAATTCCACATGGAGTCCAATTCCACCAAAAAGCCCAAAATTGGCTTCCATCACTTGGCCCATGGAATTCTAAAAAATTCCATGGAATTAAGATTTTTGACATTTCTGCCATTCATATTTTTTCAGTCATCCTTCGACTATAATCCCAACAGTAACCTTGACCTCCATTATCACCAGACAGATTGGAAAACAAAGGTGCCGTGATTGTGGATATGGGTCTTCAATCTTCATATTTGCCGGTAATGGTGCAAGCGAACGACGGCACCACCTCCACCATTCTCCATTGTGCGTCAGCATTAAAGTCACAGAAATCTCAAAATGAAGCTTCATTGATCTTCCGAAGCCGAATTCGCCGTCGACTCACCAATCATTGGCGGCAAACCACTTTCTTCTTCTAAATCGGGCTTCCATCAATCCTTATTGTCCAGTATTGTGCCCTTTTTTCTCTTCCTCCAAATACTTGGATAGATTCATAAGGGGCTTCTACATCTGCCTTTCATTTTTCTAGTGGAGATAGATGGCAATTTTAGACTTCTTTGTAAACACGATTCTTTTTTGGGTTCCTTCCTATGCTTTGATTTTTTAGCCCTCATTCTCCATAAAATCTAGCTTAGTGGATGATTTTTGTTGAGTGACAACCACCGGTGATGAGCAATGGTTGAAGTTCTTGAAATATTTGGCGATGGCTTGGCTAGATCTTCATAGATGTGAAATCTTGCTGAAAAATTTAACAGTGCAGGTTGATTGAAGTTGTGAACAAGACAAAGGATTAGGATTTTTTTTAAAATTTAATTTAAGAGGGTATTTTGATCTTTCTATATAAAAATTAGATCTCATTTCCACACCATACCAAACATACTTTTAAACCTCATTTCCATTTCCATATCTATCTCCATATCTATTTCTATTTCCATTTCCATTTCCATCGAAATCAATTCTAATGTACCAAACAGGCCCTTACATATTTACGGTTTTACTATTCATCAATATCCAATTTTATATTTAAATGTGCTTATGATTATAACAAGTATTAATAAATTTCAGTGAAATTCGTTTGCCCGATTTCTTATGATTTGATTGAATTAGATTATTGTATCAATTTATTATTAAAAAAAATACAACTTCATCATCCTAGGAAAAAAATGTCAAACTTCCTTTATTTGAAAACCCTTAAAAAAGGATTGTTCGGTCAAATAAAAATTATTGATACCAATTCAAAGAAAATATATGAAAACATCAGAGCAGGCATTATATTCTACATAATGTAAAACGTTATTAATTAATGATAAAATATCACAGATGATGAACAATATATAATATGAAATTTATAATTTTTATAATACTTTTCATGTCTTTAATATAAGACTTAATTAACTAATTTGAGTAGATTAAAATGTTAGTTAAATTAGTTAATCTCATTTTTTTTTCTAAAATACCTTAATTATTTTTCTTAATTCTCTCATCCTCTTTGGTACTTGGTTATTGTTGAGAAAATATCAATCGATTCAATTTAGAAAAATATTGATAAACATGTAAAATTGGTCTTATATATAAAATTAATATCAACTCTCAAATTAGGTCCTATATTAATAACTAGAGGAGTAATATCTTACTTAAAAGTCAAAACAAAATACTTATATCAATATTTCTTGGATATTATTTTTTGAATTAATTCACACTCAAGTTGCCAGACTTGATGTTCAACCGGTAAAATCGCGAGAACTCGAAGCATGAAATTACATGTGTACTTCCGACAGTATTCCGAGCCGTAAATTTTCATAGAGATCGGAGCCGCCGCTCTATCCTTACCATCCACTTCCCCTCTTCCACCCAAAACTACGCCATTTTGAGCGTCAAAATTAAAGGCTCTTCACTTTTTTTCTTTACCAAATCAACGTCTGTTACTTTGAAGTATTTTTTAGTAGCATCAATTATCTTAAAATAAATTTTAGTATATGTGACATTCAAAAATATTTTTCAATACTACCCAGTACTTAGCAAGCTACATTTTAAATTATTTTTTTAGTATCACTCAATATCCTAAACTAATTTCCAATACATCTACTACCCTATATTATTTTGTTGTAATAACACTATCCAAAAATTAGTTTAAAACAATCTGCGCTACTGAAAAAATAATGTATATCTAACTTGCTAAACAATGAGTGTTACTATAAAGATATTTTAAAGTGTTAAATGTACCAACAATTATTTTATGATACTGAATGCTACCCAAAAATACTTCAGTGACAGATATTGATCTGAGGATAAAAAGTCAGCCTTCATTTTCTGAATACTAGGTGCCACTGAAAAAATAGTTCAAAATATAGTTTGCTAGATACTGACTATTACTGAAAAATATTTTCAGGTGTACTAAAAATTATTTTAGAATTGATTTGGAAACCCAAAAAAATAGAACAGAGGTGAAGGGACTTGAATATTAACACCTAAAATGACAGTTTTGCGCAGAGGAGGAAAAATGAATGGTAAGGATGGAGGAGGACCGCTTCCGGATATAGGTCAACTATTCAAGAATCTACGGCATTAAAGAAACAATTCTAATGCATAATTTTTTTTAACTTTTTTTCCATAATATAAATCTGATTAGTTTTATAATTTTAAACGTCATAAAATTTGACATTTGCCGTAAATATTATAAACAAAACTATAGCTGCTTTCTCAACCATCACAGTTCCTATTCTACTGTAGCATGTTGGTATCAAATTCAAAATTTCTTCAATCAAAATTTTCTTGTGGGTCAAAGACTCATCAGCCATCACAGTTCCTATTCTACCACAGCAGTTTTCTCCCAACCCACAAAGCAAATAGAGAATGCTTAAGATGGAATGGCAACTATTGAACAGCCCTTTGTCTTTCAGCACCATCTTCCCCCTCAACCTGCAATCATATAACAATTCGAATGTAATTTGAGTTGCGACCAGGTGACAGAGATTGCATTTCATGCATATATGAACTTGGTCGTGAAGAATGATTTGACCCATGCAGCCACAGTTTAAGATGCAGTATAATGAGTTAACGAAACCGGTCTAACATTGCTTTGTGATTATTAAAAACTGCTTCCCAAAGTAAAATGATTTAATTGCAACAAAGCAACATTTTGGCATGTGTATGAAATACATCACTAGGACTTGCTTCTATTACCATAAACTTGTATCCGTTTAGAAATTAACTATTCCTTTTATTCTTCCAAGACAATACTTCCATAAACATGATTGACATGTTACATATTATAAAAAGTATAGTTAATACCAAGGACCAATTTTTGAAACCAACTTGGTGAAACCAGATACTATCAATTGAATAACAAAAGAAAAGGCGAGTGGGGATTTGCAGATGTGCATGAAGTACTTGGAAAACACACGCATGGCCGCAGAATTAGATTATTTACGAGACCTACTAAGTTAGCGGTGTTATTTAACAATTATGCATGCCGTTGCCATTAGTTTGCTTTCAAGAGCCATGATATTTAGTTGAATCATTTTATTGACATTTATATAAAAACACACCAGCACCAGTGGCAGCTACTGATTGATTATGTGGGTTAACACATCAAATCCTGCCACATGTCCAAATGCGTATTTTCATCCTCAAGTTTTACCGATAGGCACTTGTTATTTCTAGCATGAGGCATCAACTATTTAAAATCGATAATACTTCAGGCCAAAAAAAAAAAAAAATTCAATAGTAAACCTTCTTCCTAATATTTCAAGAACAAAGGCATACTGATTGGCAAACTAGCAGAGGTACCAGAAACTAGACTCGAAACGTCAACCATAAAAATGAATTCATCGAAGCAAAAATCCAGCATCATTTAGAAGAATTGAAGCACAGTAAGTCATTACCTCAACAAGGACTCTTGCTTTCTTTGATTTTTTGTCAAGTGCATTGTTCTCGGGTCGTCTATTCTTTGCTGACTTCTTGTGAACAACTACATGACCTTCTTCCTCGTCAGTTTCCGCTGCATCACCAAATACCGATTACATTGTGCTTTTCACGGTGAGTGTGCATTTCACACTTATATTGTCTAAAATTAAAAACAGAGTTTCCTCTGCTATTTCCAACAAATTTTAGATCATGACACAAACAAATTGATGTATCATGCAACATTGTATCTGAATGATAAAATATTTAGATGCATGCATTGTACACCAGTATTAATATACATAATTTATTTTCTTTGACCAATTCAAGAAGCTAGTTATTTAACTAACCATGTCTCCATCTATATTCCCCCATGATGTCAGTGCGTGTCGTATTTTACTCGGTGTAGTTATGATCTGTGTAAGAAGTTAGCATGTTCTGATCCGGAGAGTATTTGAGTTTAGATGTTTGTCACTGTTTTGTCCAATGAAAGTTAGATGTGATTCCCAATTACACCAGTAGTCTCGTGTGCTCCCTAAGCTATTTCTTGTAACATTACCAAGGGGTCACAACATCATGCAGAACTCATTAACTTTCAGGTTAAATCCACCTCAAAGGCCAAGAACATACGAATAGAAGGTTCTGTGATAGAAATATTAGGCACATCATATGCAAATTGCAAAGCTACTGGACCAAGCTATACCATTTTCATCATCATCACAATCATCTGGAGCCTCATGAGTCCCGAAGCCAGCAAAATCCTCCATATCATCTTCCTCTTCGAGCTCATCATAACCTTCTACATATTCAACCTCAGGTTCCTGTATTTTTAGAAAACAAAATTAAGACATCAAAACAGTGAGGCGTTTTATCAAGTCAAACTGCAACCTTGTGTGTTCAATATGTATGACGGTTGACAAAAAAGAAAGGATCTACGGAAGCATACTTCTTCGTCTTCCACTTCAGCTAGTTGAAGCTTCTCCATATCAAGGACACTATTGTACTCTTTTAGAGGATAATTGACTATGTCACCAGGTCCATAAACTCCTTTATGAAGGCGTTCCAAAAGCTCATTTTCAATAGCCTATATAAAATAGATTAGCACTAGTGAGGGAACATTAGATTTAATATGCATAAAAATGAAATCAAAGTAGGATTAAGTATAACCTTGTCTAGCAATGCTGCCTTTTCAGCCTTCTCTTCTCTTCTAGCTTCTCTCTTTTTTTCTTTCCTTGGGGTCGTCATTATTTTTTCCCTATCCAAAATAACATAACAACAATGTCATCTACATGATGAATCAGGTTACTATGGTGAGAAATGAAAATTCTAGTAATTCATTATGCATAACAATCCAAATACAGATCAAGGATATGTAGACTTCTTGATCTGTAGACTTCAAGCTTGTTATCTAGAAGTAGTATTTATTACAGGGTAGAAAAGAGGCCAATAAGCAAACGCAGCACGAATTTAACCAAGCAAAATTAATGGAGTATAAAAGATGTAGCAAAAAAAAAAAAAAAAAAATCTTAAATGATGAAAATCTCAAACACATACCAAGAATTTTCAAGAAGCAAGGTAACTATTATAAAACATCCATTATTTATAATTTATAACGGAAGAAACCAATGCAATAAGACCACAATCAACCAAATACGCCAGAAGACTATAGAGACTCTACAGTGAACACAGGTCGTCAAACAAGATATGGAAGTACGAAGATCTATATTTTTTTCTTGTTTCAAGCATTGATTATTCTCATCCTTAAGTGTTTCATGAACTAGCCCATTCAGATTAAAATACTGACATTGCTCAAGCATTTTAAGATAGTGACCAAATAGCCCACTAAAAGCTCCAATAAATTTGTATGATTGACAAAGGAAACGCCATAGAGATACTTTTAGGTCACACAAACCTCAAGTCTGTTTTATATCCCTGTAGTCTACAAATAGGGCTCCCTATATACTCGTTAGAGTAATAGGGAATTTTGCCCCTCATAATATTATCATAAAAGTGATTCATTCTAATCTCGGGCAAAAATTCTAAACCCTTCAAACTTCTGCCCATGAATAGGACTCTTCCATCATATATAACCCCTTCTATCGTTTTCCCCTCAATCTGCCAGTTTAAGTTGTCACTCTCTCTGAGTCATTATGTTGAAAAGCTCAAATTGCCAGTAAAGGCAGCATGCTTGAGGCAGCTCATGCATAACAATAAAAAACACACATGACACAAGCTATATTGATGTTTTGCTTCCAATCATAATTATTGGGTGAAATGGTCAGGTCCTGAAATTTTACTTCCGATCATAAAAATCTTGCATTTTTCCCTTTGCTGACAATCATACACAAAATTACAGTCACCTGATTCTGATATACGGGATTTCAGCATCTAAATTTCCGACAGGTAAAACAGGCATCACTTTATATAGAAAAAGATGGAAAATATGATATTCTAATTTCGACCTTGTTTTCAAACTAAGTTTCCTCATGCGTATCCGCATCTGGGTCATTTTGGTCAATCGCTGCTTTGCTTTGTGTACAAGAAACTTCGGCCAATACATCTGTCCAAGCAAAAAGTTCAGGCAGATCGACCAATTATGAAAATATTAGTTAAACTTGTAAAATTAAGCAGCTGAATAGACTATTTAGATCTTCGATACCAGATGCTTGTCAATGATTTCGAGTGCTTTTTCGTAATTCCTAGGAAGCTTCACTCTTTCCCAAAGATTGTTCGGCATATGAGCTCTTTCTATAGTTTTCATGTAAAGGTAGAATACTCCTGCAGTAGCCAATGCAACTTTATCATTATTTGCATGTTGTGAAAGCAGCATGACTTGCATCATTCTTTAAGCATGCATTCGTACAGTTGATGCGCTGAAGTAAATTGTTCAACATATACCCAGAGAAAAAAAAATAGAAGAAACAAATGGCGTAAAAGATTAAGTTCAGACAGATAACTATTAGATCTCTAATTCTTAACATGATTCTCAAAAGAGGGGGGAAAAACCTCAACTAGAGTAAATTGTTCAATATATACATAGAGAAAAAATAGCAGAAATAAACAGTGTAAAGATTAAGCTCGGTCAGATAACTATTTGGTCTCTAATTCTTAACATGATTCTCAAAAGAGAAAAAAAAAACAAAAAAAAACCCCTCAACTAGCAGTTTTATTGTGCAAGTTCATACAGGTAAAACAGTCGATAATCATAACCCACAAACTTTTACTGAATGACCACCAATTTCTCGTGAAAACCAACTTTATCAATAAAATCTAAAGACTTAAGTGCAGATAAAACATATAGAGTAAGAATAGAGAAAAGAAAGATTAAGTAGAAGGTACCATTATCGTCTCTAATAGTGGCATAGCGACTATTGGCCAAAGGGCACGAGCTTCTGTTGCAAATTCCTGTCACATTATACGGGTTTCTACAGAAATTCCCCGTCGTGATTCTACAAAACCCACCATAAAATTCAGTAAAAGAAATGGAACTATTCGTGATTTGTCAAAACTACAGAGAGAGAGAGAGAGAGAGCAGAATAGCAACAAAAATGAAGGCAAAAAAACGGTTACTTGGCCATGAAACTGCAGTGGTTGTGCCTGATAACTTGCCATATAACCTCATCATGCTGCATTTTTTGAGCAAGCTTTCAGAGAACTTCACAGTCTTCCTTGAAGACTAAAACCTCGCTATTCAAAGTCCAAGAGATTCAGAGAATATGCAGCAAGCAAATACAAGATTGAGATTCCGAGGTCCTTGGCCTCACCAGTAGACACCTGAGTCCCGATATAAAAGAAGGACCCGAAGTTCAGTTGAGGGAAGAGTTGGAAGATGGAGAAAATGCCTTCCTGTTCTTTTCTCGCCAACGACCCAAACATTCCGATGCATTTAGGGTTCGACTGAAAATGAAAAAAACAAAGATATATCGGGTCGGTCCCAGTAGCTAGTCCAACGCCCGAATTATAGACCCGGACAGGGGATTTCAAATTGAACAAGGATGGTAACCTCAATGTTTTTTCAGAGACTTTTCAGTTCATATCTTTGACACTATTATCTAACTAATAGAAAATGTTGGCAAAATAACCTTCAATACTCCATTTGATCATATATATTTAAGTAACATTATTTCGTACAGGATTGATTTTGTAACCAGCTTGTACAGCCTGCACAGAGAGATGCTCCTTATTTGTTTTTTTTAATTCTCAAAACAATTTTATGAAATTGTTTTTTGAACAAATTTTGGGAGAAACAAAATTACAAAATATGTAGTCAAGCAAATAAGTAATTATTAAATGAAACACTATAAGCCACAATTTAACTACAGTTATACCTCATCAAATGTTGTCCACATATCATGCTACTACCTTCAGTTCTTAATATAGAATTTCGTTTGACTTTTATTTTGATCCTAAATATAAGACCCCAATCTATTTTATCTCTCATATTTATATTTTTTTCTAAGGTAGTCCTTCTAATAATAGTAGTTCTAGCCAATACACTTGATTAGCAAAGATATTTAGAAAAGAAATTCTTATTTATCACAAATAACTAACTTAACTTATTTTCTTAATCTTATCAAATTAGTCAACTGGCTCTTATAATTAAGACTGGAGGTAATATTAGGTAAAAGAACACAAGACAAAACCGCATAGGAGGATTCATGAATTTATCAATTTAGGATCAGATACAAATCTAAAAGAAATTCTTAAATTTAGTTTTACCACTAAAGAGAACAAACATTTACTAACAGAATTAGCAACCAAATTCAATTCCATCATCAATCTTATCATTAAAATTAGTGCCAGTTTAGCAAAAAAAAATTTCGCTGCTAATTTTCAACGAAAAAAAATTTTGTTGCTAAATTTTTAGTAATGAAAGAAATTTTGTTGGTTGATAGTCATGGCCAGTAGTGGGGTGGTGATAATCGATGGGGTCATGTGGCAGGCGGCTGCTATCACCAATGGTCAGGTTTCATTTTTTTTATGGTAAAAAAATCATTTATACCCGTTGTTGGAAAAAAAAGAAAAGAAAAAAAACCGCGATTAATTGAATTCCAAGTATTGAATTTCACCAATAAAATACGAAGACTTACTTCAACATCTTTTTCTTTATTTCGAGTCTCTAACTCTAATTCAAGATATTTTGTTTCCATCGTCTAAAAATATTTATTTTTAGTGCCAATCTATGAGGGCACGTAGCTGGTGACGGATAACTGGAGAAGAAAGGGCTTCCCCAGTTTTCAGGAAGAAAAAAATACAAAAATAAAAACAAGAAAAAATCTAAACGTTATTTTGGTTTTTTAGTCTGTAAAAACATATCATTGTTTTTTTTTATAAAAAAAACATCTAATAAAACTAAATCACCAAACAAGTTTTTTTTTGTTTTTTGTTTTTAAAATAAAAAACTATTTTCAAATTAAGAAATCAAACAAAGCCTATATTATATGTTTTTATACTAATAAACTTATATTGATGGACTATTACATGACATCGAGGAATAAAAATATGTTAATCGCTAACTTCCATCATTCAATATATACATGTAATATGCACAGTTGCAAGCCAATGTGCGTGCACATGTTCTAACCATGACAAGCACAATACAATACTCATATGTCACTGCAAGTCTATGCATCGCACGGCTAATGAACTGATACTCATACGTCATGTCTTACACTTCACAATTTCATTGCAGGCCAAATTCATTACAGGTTGATAAATATCTCCTTATACACGACTGGGGTGAAGTAAGTGAGAAAATGGCCTTGTCAAATATATTCTTTTGCTCTAAATTTAGGGAATTCATAAGATTTTGAGCTTCTAATTGTAAAGAATATTGATCATGAGTCAACTCTTGTAACATGAGATGGTTCGCAACATTAATTGGAGCAGTTTCTTTAGGTAAAATGGCAGAGAAGGGAAGTCATGAAGACTCTTTCCAATTTTTTGCAGCAAAGAATCAATCTTTCTGAGTCAAGCTGGTTTCCTTTTAAAATGGCGGTACTTCCAAACTTGTAACAATCGTGTGATTTTATTAGTAATAAATTATCTATATCAAGAAAAAGGTTGAGTTTGTGATTGGGACTTGAGAGTAGATACTTTCTTGACGAAGTGTGATAATGGTGTGGTATGTATAACAAATCTTTAAACAACAATTTCAACAATTTTAATTTGAAGTATTCCTACAAACATTGTTAGGACTAGTTAGGCAACAACATACAATGCAAACATTTTTCTCAATGAAGTATTAGAATCCCAAATGGATGTTTCTTTTATTGCGCGCGCGCGCACACATATATATATATATTGTGATCGTTTAATAGTCTAAGCGCAAAACATGCAGCTTTAATAGTTGGATGGACATCCCATCAACTATTTTTATCTCACCAATGAATGAGGACCTCTTACTTTTGTCTGCAACACTTATAGATAGTAAAATTCTCTAGAAGATGGTGATACAAGTATAATTTTACCTAATCAAATCCATTATGTCTCCGTCTTCAGTTTCAGTTAGCTTTCACATAAACATAATGATCGCGAAACCCTATATATGTTAGTGCTGCAACAAATTCATCGTATTATTTATTTATAGAGTGTTTGGGTAGAAATCAAACCACGATTTAGAAAATAACTTTTAGAGGAAAGTGATAAAAAAATTATTTTGATAATACATTTTAAAAGAATAAAAATTTTGTGAAAAAAGTAATGTTGATGAAATAAAAATAGTTGGACAGTTATTATCAAAATCACTTTTTTATGTGCAAATTATTAAAAAAAGACATAAGTTAATTTGATAATTATATAAAGGACATATTTTAATTTATATATTTGTTTAAAGTAATAAATTAGTGAATAATGTATTTTTGTTTTACCAATATAATAAATGATAAATAAAAAATATAATTAATTAATAATTAATATGTGTGTATATATTTATAAAAGATAAGATTAAATATATTTTTAGATGAATGAGAATTCCATCTGAAAAAATTTAAACATCATGCGCCATAATATTTTTAGAAAATTTGAATAAAGATATTAGCTTTGATTTTTAATATAAGAGCTACATAACTAATTTGTGAATATTAAAAAAATTAGTTAAGTGAATCGTTTGTAATAAATATATGCTATCTTTTCTAAAATATCTGCATTAATCATATATATTAAAACTACCATGTATTAGTGATTAATTATATTAAAATATCTGCATTCATTGTAGGGATTACTTGGGCGCAAATGGATAAATATGAAAAATAAAATGGATTGAGGTCTTATATATTTATAACCAAGTTGAATTTGTAACTAATTTTTTATATTAAGGACTGGAAGTAGTATGTAAAACCAATTTATTATTTATATAATTAATCACTAATACATGTATATATATGTATCTATAAAATATAAAATTAAATATGTTTTTATTTCCCCAAACCATGTTTTATACCTCCAGAGGCAAAAAAAAAAAATCACATATGAAAAACCATGATTTTATACCTCCATATATGTTTAGATGATTTTTCTTCAAACCATGGTTTTCTTTACCAAATTATGGTTTGAAGAAGTACCCAAACACCCCATATCTAAATAAGAAATTATGATACAAAAACTCTTGATTTGTCTAACGGCTGAAAAACATCATCCCTATTAAAATAAATCACATGCTTTTGATTATATTTATTATCATAAATTATAGCAACAACTCTATTATTTTCTTTACTAATGTAGCAGTCAATTGATTGCATTTTTCAACATTAAAATGAGCTTGAAAAAACATGCATAGTAGGGTAGAATTGTAAGGCACAACAAAATAGTTGTCTATGAGAAAGACCTTTTATTTCAATTAATACTTATTGCAATGAATTTTTTTAGGACAAAAGTATTGTACTTCTTATCTTTCATACATGGTGATTTTGGGCTATGTACTGCTACCACAAGGTTTATGAATCATATATATATATATATATATATATATTTTAATAAACTCATATAACAAAAGAGAAGAGCTCTTGTATGTTATTTTAGGAGAGATGACTTCGTCAATATACTCTTGGTCTTTTATTTTGTCTATTGGATTAAGGAATAAGAGCATATGAGCATGTATAGCTCTATACACATGAAAATTGTAATAATGTAATGTATAAGATAATTTGATGTGTTAGTTAAATCTCTAAAAGCAATAAGTATATATGTTATAGTAGCAAGTCACAAAGTAAGATGTAAACGAAATATTAAATTTACAACCATAAATGCACACTAACCAACGCAAACGATTTCAAAAATCATTTTATCCTCTATTGCCTCCCCGGGAGTGATTGTAACTCCATTTTGAAAATCCCACACAATACATATGGTCTATTTGAGGGATTGAATGAACTGCATTCACAAAATCTTTTAACTTCTAGTCATACGGGGTTGCAAGCGAAGTAAAAAAAAATATGTGAATGTCCTGCCCAAAGACAAATCTTTGTTGTATCATGATAATTTTGAATCATATATCTTACTCCTCTAATGAAAAATGAAGCAATATGATGCATCTTCCGATGGATGAAATGCTTTTTTCCCATTGATTAAAGCATCAGACAATTCTTAATACAAGTCAACCGTGAGCTCTTTTTTATGTGTCCTAATCTAGAGCAACTTTTGGGACTCCATTATTATGTAATCATCAAACTATGTGTTGAAGTAACCTATCGATAGGTCTTATTTTCCTTCATCATCAATATGTAAGTGAAGTAATTTCTTGCATTTTGGGCCTTTTCTTGTTCTTAGTAGCACTATGAGTCTTTTCTAAATGCTCAATATCATTCCTGTATCCATCTTCCCTAAAAAGAAACAAGATAGAGTATTGAAGAGGTGGATCAG